GAATAATAACTGATTAATAAAATCTTATATCCTAAAGTTCTAAATTTCTCTGATCTAGTGTATAATTCCTTCCTTCCTTTTTAATTTTTTAATATGCATTTTAATATCTATATAAGTACATTTTGATATTGCTTACCCTAGAAGATTGCACTCTACTACAGAAATTCTCTAAATAGCCTGCTAGTATAAGCAGGAGCATTATCTTTTTTAATAGTAGTTGAAATTTCCTAACAACAAAGCAAGCCAACAGATGTTCAATATTATAATTATTGAGTTCTTCAAATAAAGGAGTAGCCCTAACAAACGTGGAACAAGTATCCAAGGTAACATAAACAAACTTAGAATAACAAATTTAGAACAAGTATCTATGGAAACATAAACAAACAGTATATGGAAACATGCAAACACCATAACTATCCAAATAATGCAATACTATTAACTAACTGAAATCATAGTGTATATTAGAAGAGATATATATGCACATATAACATCATTTAAACTAACTGGAGCCAGCTGGTCAAAATATTTAGAATTTAATTTTAGAGTAAGGAAAGGGACAGTAAACCGAATGGGTGGCCGTCAAAACGTGATAGACAACTGTCGAAACTGAATGGACACCTATTGAAAGAGCAACAGAATGGATAGCTTTCGAAACAGCAACCCCCCAAGGGCTGCCTCTCAGGATGTTCTATACTATTAAGCAACAAGTACTAATTTGCAGAAGAAATCTAAGCATAGCCTACAGTAGCCATCTATATAACATTATTTACAAACATATTTAACATTATTATTATTACAGAACTATCAACTAAAATTCACACTGTAGCTGTTTTAATTGTACAGTGCCTTATACCCTTAGGCTGTTTTGTAGTTCCCTTTTCTTTTCACAGGGTCAGAGGGCCAACCTGAACCTGGGAAAAATCTTGGAGAACATATCTTGAGATAATAGGCTTGAGTCTGAAGTGAGAAGATCCTATCCTACCTCCAGAGTCAGTGTCTCAATGAGCTCAAACAGCATAAGACAATTTACCAATATAATTAATTCAAAAAGGCATTTGTTTTTCTTAGCCTAAAATTTTTTACTTGCGTGGTGAATCCCTTTGAAGAGGGCTGCCAATCTGGAGTTGGAAAAAAAAATTGTATTACATGAATCGGACCAAGCACCCATGACCTGGGGAATAATTTAATCCAGATTTATACAACAAAATGCTCCTTATAAGAACACAGAAAACAATAATAGTACTTAAAAGAAAATGCAAAGAGACAACATCCTAATACTCTACTTTTAATCTATCCCTGACATTGTAGCATAGGCATTCTATAAGAAAACGTTAGAGGGTGCTATTGTTACAGTTATGGCTGAGGGAAGGTCCCCAGCTGCACTACCTGTGGTTGCAGGGTTGAGGTAAAAGATGGTTGGCTGCCCCCATTACTTGTGAGGGGCCCCGGGGAAGGCCCCAATTCTCATTTCCCAAATGTTGTGGTTGAAACACAGGCATTGGTTCAGTATTTCTTATAATATTTCCATAAATATCTGTCTTAGATCTACAACCTCAAGCCCAATGCACGCCACGATGACAGCAGGAACATTTACCTGGTGGTCGGGACGGTACCTTAAGGCACTGCTTTTTAACATGTCCTTCAGTACCAAAACCAAAACATTTTAGTTCTGATTTCATTGTCCCCTTTTGAGGATTTATAGAAGCTGCCAAAGTTTGAGCAAAAAGCTGCATCTTTCTATGTTCAGAGTGAACATTACGACAGGCTTGGGCATATCCCATAATGTCTCCTGTCTCTTTTATAGGTAAAATAGCTCTTTGACAATCCTCATTTGCATTTTCATAAGACATAACTTTTACAATTACTTCTTGAGCAGCAACCCCAGGAACAGAACTTTCCATAGCCTTTTGAGGGCGAGCCAAAAAGTCTCCATATGACTCCTGAGATCCCTGAATAATTTTAAGCCAAGGACGATGCTTTACTCCCTCATGTTGTATATGATCCAAATCTTCAAGATAGATCTCCTAAAGTTGAGCATGAATAGCTTCAGGTACATTAACCTGTTGTGCAGGCAAATCATAAGCTCCTGTTCCTGTTAACAAGGATAAGTAAGAGCTCTAATATGTGCATCAGTAGAAGCATCATTATCCCTAGGTTGTGAGGCAGCAAGGTCATAATACCACATAGTCCACTGAATATACTCTGATGGTTTCAACAGTGATCTACCCAGTACTTTCCAATCCTCTGGAGCAAGATTCCCATAATGATTAACAAGCCTAAAAGAATTTCTTTCACATAAGGTGACTGTGGACCATATAGTATTACTTGGATGTCGAATAACTGGAAATACAGCTTTAGACAAAATAATTCCAGAGTCAGATTCAGATTCAGAAGTTTGTGCCAACAATTTTGCAAGAGCCGCTGTTGCTCTTGACCTTCGTTTAGGTTTCCTTTTTACTTTATGCTTAGTCACAACCAGTCTCTGTAATTCCTTTCTAATGTATCAAGCCATAACTGAATCCTCATCAGAATCTAATGAGTCTTCTGTTTCATCTGAACTTGGAAAACTTGGAGCCAAACAAGGAGGAACTAAAGGCTCCTTCCTTGCAAAAGTATCTAAAGAAGGCTCTGAAGAAGTAGCCTCTTGAATTTCTTTAGCAACTTTATTTTTTATTCCTCAGGAACATCAAAGAGATTAACTGCTTCATTAGAAGTACAAAAACCTGAGCCAGTGACAAGCTATACGGACAGTGATTGATTAGTGTGATAGTTGTTCTAATGAATGCCCACACAGACCAAAAATCAAGCAGTATTCTTAATGCTTTTTCCACCTGAGAATGTAAAGAAACAAAAGGAGTAGACTTACCCTGTCCCATTATACTTACTTAAACTGCAACCCTATCCTCAACACCTCCTTTGGGTGCAATGTTTGGGGTCCCTGTTTGGGTGCCAGCTGTCATGGTTCAGTGACCACAATTCAAGCCTGATCGGCTTGGGGATCCCGAGGTTAGGTGCAAGAGAAATCAGGATGCAGGGGATGCAGTGGGGTGTGAACCAATGCATACTTTATTCTAAGAAACAACCTTATTTATAGTACAAGAGGAAGAGAAAATATTTTTCTCAAGCCAAATTATCTCATCATGATGTTTAAAGTACCTTCATGATATTTACAGTTATAGGACAGGAGGACAGGTATATAAAATCCAATACACCACTTTAAGACAATGTTTGTGTGAGTCACCACAATGTCAGCAAAACTGGGTGATGTGATCAGCAAGCAGTCTTCACCACTTGGTGGATACCAGATCTGAGTAGTATAAAGTAATCATGAGTTGAACAATAGGATGGACAGAAGAATTACTCATGGAGGAGAAATTGAGAACAAATTAGCAAATAAAAAAAGAGGAAACAAGGAATGAACTGTGGAATCTGCCAATGATAACTTCTGTGCAGAGGCCCTATGGTTAAATGCTGCATATCTGACACTGTCCTGTGGGGCATTGGCATCTCTGGGTGTTAAGTGAGTTTGAAGAGGATCATTATTTACAAGTACTGAATTAAATATTTCTATAGTGTAATAGGAGCATCTCATAATATTTATCTCTTAAGCCTTCTCATTCAATGAAACAAGAAATTCTATATTGTTAATTATCTCTAATTAATGCCATGATTTTGTTTCACTTGAGATTAGTAAAATTATATTTGTGAGTGAAAACATTTTATGTTATGATATTAATTTTCTAAGATTTATTTTTTGAATTCTAAAATTATATGTGTGTGCGTGTGTGCGTGTGTGTGTGTGTGTGTGTGTGTGCATATGCACTTGATTGTGGGAAACTGTGGGTTACAGAAAAGGCACCAGATTCCCCAGAGCAGTAGTTACAGTCAGCTATGTTGCCTGCATGGGTGCTAGGAAAGTTCCTGTGGAAGATCAATGAGTATCCTTAACTGCGAAGCCATCTCTCCAGCTCCTGATGAAACTTATTCTCAATAATTAATTCCATAGTGGATTCTCTACTTCAAGGATGTTAATGCAGAGTACCAATAAGCATCGATGGAATTGCAATGTTTTATCAAAGAGGCAACTCCACTGTATGACATGAAGCCAAGGGTATATTCATACACATTTAATATGTTCATGAGTTCATATATTCATACTCTTTAGAATAATGACCATAAAGAGCAAGCATTTGAAAGAGGATTGGTTTAACAGAGCATACAGTCATTAAAATAATTTCACATGTTAATCTGAAATAGCCTTCTCACATGATTTCATAAATGAAGTTTATTAATCACTATATTTGGTATTACAATGGAATATAATGCATGCACCAGGGCTGACACTAGTGAATACTATGTAGTGCTTTTTAAATGTGTATGA